CCCCTAGTGTAAACCAAGTCGAACGCCACACACGGGCAACCGAATTGGAATTAGATCGCGCTCCACATTTGGCAAGCTGTCTTTTGCGGTAGCCCAGGATTGGAGGCCCTTATCCAGCAGTGGAATGACAACTGAGCTGTACTGTGCATGGCCCACTTTGCCTACTGCCGTCTACGTACCTCCAATTAGCACGGGTGGCTACGTACGGTGCATTTTAATGAGGGAAATAAGTATTTGACCCCCTCTCAATCAGAAATATTTCTGGCTCTCAGGTGTCTTTTATACAGGTAACGAGCTGAGATTAGGAGCACACTCTTAAAGGGCATGCTCCTGATCTCAGCTTGTTATCTGTATAAAAGACACCTGTCCACAGAAGCAATCAATCAATCAGATTCCAAACTCTCCACCATGGCCAAGACCAAAGAGCTCTCCAAGGATGTCAGGGACAAGATTGTAGACCTACACAAGGCTGGAATGGGCTACAAGAACATTGCCAAGCCGCTTGGTGAGAAGGTGACAACAGTTGGTGCGATTATTCGCAAATAGGAGAAACACAAAAGAACTGTCCCCTCGGCCTGGGGCTCCATGCAAGATCTCACCTCGTGGAGTTGCAATGATCATGAGAACGGTGAGGAATCAGCCCAGAACTACACGGGAGGATCTTGTCAATGATCAAGGCAGCTGGGACCATAGTCACCAAGAAAACAATTGGTAACACACTACGCCGTGAAGGACTTAAATCCTGCAGTGCCCGCAAGGTCCCCCTGCTCAAGAAAGCACATGTACATGCCCGTCTGAAGTTTTCCAATGAACATCTGAATCATTCAGAGGACAACTGGGTCAAAGTGTTGTGGTCAGATGAGACCAAAATGGAGCTATTTGGCATCAACTCAACTCGCCGTGTTTGGAGGAGGAGAAATGCTGCCTATGACCCCAAGAACACCATCCCCACCGTCAAACATGGAGGTGGAAATATTATGCTTAGGGGGTGTTTTTCTGCTAAGGGGACAGGACAACTTCACCGCATCAAAGGGACAATGGACGGGGCCATGTACCGTCAAATCTTGGGTGAGAACCTCCTTCCCTCAGCCAGGGCATTGAAAATGGGTCGTGGATGGGTATTCCAGCATGACAATGACCCAAAACACACGGCCAAGGCAACAAAGGAGTGGCTCAAGAAGAAGCACATTAAGGTCCTGGGGTGGCCTAGCCAGTCTCCAGACCTTAATCCCATATAAAATATGTGGAGGGAGCTGAAGGTTCGAGTTGCCAAACGTCAGCCTCAAAACCTTAATGATTTGGAGAAGATCTGCAAAGAGGAGTGGGACAAAATCCCTCCTGAGATGTGTGCAAACCTGGTGGCCAACTACAAGAAACGTCTGACCTCTGTGATTGCCAACAAGGGTTTTGCCACCAAGTATTAGTCATGTTTTGCATAGGGGTCAAAGACTTATTTCCCTCATTAAAATGCAAATGAATGTATACAATTTTTACATGCGTTTTTCTGGATTTTTGTTGTTATTCTGTCTCTCACTGTTCAAATAAACCTACCATTAAAATTATAGACTGATCATTTATTTGTCAGTGGGCAAACGTACAAAATCAGCAGGGTATCAAATACTTTTTTCCCTCACTTTATATGCGGGCTACCCTGTAATCCTGTAAGGACGTGTGTGTTGTGGGGGAGCGGTGGCGCAGTGGTTAACGCGCTGCGCTACGAACCCGGCGCCCCGAGTTCGATTCAACCTCACGACCAACATCGGTGACGAATATCTGGTGGGCCTCAAATGAGTACCTGGTGCGGTGCGTAAAAACATCGCCGCTGGGGAGGCAAAGGCGGCTGGGCGTGGTGCTGGCCACCCACCCCCTCGTGTGCCGTTAAGTCCTTCAGAGGTGCTCCTCGCGAACAGCACTTGACCCAACAGTCTGTTAAGGCTATACGGGTGATCTTTGTCTTGCATATGTATGTCAGCGCGTGCGTATGAATAGCTCCTCTGCCCCCTCCCATGACGCCGTGCGTTTAGCGATTTCCGGTTGCTCTCTCCCAGAAGATTTTCTCAAATTCCTTCACCGGCAGAGGCTCGAGCGTCTGTCACCTGCGCTCCGTCTGTCACCTGCGCTCCATCGAGTATGCGTCTAGTTGGGTGCTTCGCTGTCGTGTTGTTGTTGCTGGTGGTGGTGGTGCTCCTGGTGGGAGAGGTTGGCGCAGCTTGGAGCTTAGTTGGCTGCGTAGATGGTGGAAGCGAATTGAATAATAATCATACTCATCGTCATCAGCAGCAGCAGCCATCATTAATTCACTGATGGATGAAGACCCCCATGTGATCACATTTCGCAGTGGTTCCCATTTCTAGCACCGCCTTCATCTGACTTCACCTAAATCCTTCCCCTCCCTCCCCCGCCTCGCCACCCCTCCACAAACCATATTCCACCCCCACCACCCCCTCGCCTCCAACCACCCGTACCCCCTTACCAACCTACCGATATGGACCCTATACACGTGAAACCCGCAAACTGTGGCCATGTAATTATACCCAGGCATGTCAGATCAACAGGGCACCGGGCCCTGGCCTAGCCACGTGTGTCCCTGCTATGCGCTCTGCCTGTCACTGCTATGCGATGTCCCTGCTATGCGCTCTGCCTGTCACTGATATGCGATGTCCCTGCTATGTGCTCCGCCTGTCCCTGCTATGCGCTCCGGCTGTCCCCACTTATGCGTTCCGCCTGGCATAATTGCACAGTCGTCAGTAATAACGTTGGCGCTGTAGTTTCGTGTGCAGACACACACTGTACTCTAGGAGTACAGTATAATGCATTCGTTCTTACAATGCATGACACTTACGGATTTTTCTGTAATACATTTGTATGAAATATATTTATGAAATAATATTTAATCTTCATTATTTTTTGCGCAATGACCGATGACCCAATAAAGCCCTCACATATTGCTCATACGAAATAAATGACGCTGTTGGGAACGTATCCCCCTTTGTACAATGGTATAATGACCCCCTTTAGCGCTGATTCGGTCAGCGCTTACGTCTCCAGGATACGCATCTCGAACGCTGAGCGAGGTATGCCTGTATATAACAGGCAACGTTTCAGGCAATAGCCCTTCGTAATAGCCGATGTTATACACGAGTGAGTTGTAATGTATTAACTCTGCCGATGCACTACTGCCAACTCGGCAGCAGTAGCATCGTCAAACAAATGTATTTTCCAATTAGACCCTGTTTCTTTCGACGGGTTTTGTTAGATCTCGTCTAGCGTTACATTTCACGGCTGTTATCAATTGACCGACTGAACCCGAATTATAAATTTTACAGCCCCTCCCCCCCCCCCCTCTCAATCCACTGCTGGATAGTGGCTTTCTCATACAGTGCGACAGTCATCACACTGCATGTATGTACTATGTTGAACTTATTTCGCACCGTACGTAGCCAACCGCGCATCATGCTACGTGAAATCCCAATTGAGTAATTTGTCGGTAACTTGAGATGTTTGGCCAATGAAATGTAATGCTAGTTGCATTGTTTAATTCGCGTTACTAGCTATGCGAGTACAGCAGAGACCCCCAGAGGAAACCCATGCAAAACAGGGGAAGAAGAACGTACACACTCCATACGGACAGGGACGCCCGTGTCGGGAATCAAACCCGTGTTTTTTTTTCCTGCCGCGAGGCGCGAGTGTCACCACTGCGTCCACACCCCTCCAAGCCCGAGCCCGTCCTGCAGTCGCCTGCGGGCGAGTCTTATTCTCATCCGCAATCGTCAGGTCGGACACGACCACTGCAGCGGTGATTGCGCCTTAAGCCCTCCCCCCCACCCCCCGGCGACAAGGCGCTGGCTCCTCCACCACTGCGGCTGCAGCACCGCGGCGCGTCCGCCAGGCGGCACCGCCACCCGCCGCGAGTCGCATCGGTGACAGCATGTTCGGGGTCACGGTTTTGTCTCGCTTAGGTCAAAGGTCACGCGATGCTCCCAAATCAATGCCGCAGGTCCCCGCGGTCCGATTGTGAGGCCCCCACGCTCGACTACGCGCGTCCCAAAAGGTACTCGAGCAGAGCGCCGCTACTGACTGTCACGTACTCGCAACACCGAGGGGGGCTCGTGATCGTATGAATTGTAAATGTTTTCATCTTCGTTTTTAATGGAATAATATTCTCATCCTGATTGGGGACGTCGGCGTGATATCATCAGACGAGAGGAAGTTTCCAATCGGTTCTCCGGAAGAGCGTTGCGACCCTCCCTGTTACAGAACCGTCTGCGGAAGTGGATGTGTCAGAGCTGCCGCTGAGAAATCCGCAATCGACCTCTGTTCCACGCAGAGAGAAGGCGTCGCTTATAAAACACGACCACTAGGTATTAGGCGGAGAGTAACGAGGTGAGTGCGGGTTGCGGTGCGTTGTGCTGCGGTATATAAACTAAATAATAATAATAGACATAAGATAAAGATGCGGCCCTGGAAGTGCTTGCTGACGCCACTGCTAGCAGAAAGGGCCTCCACTGGGAGGGAGCTCCAAAAGAGCCCCAGGTGAGAACGTTTGGGCGACTCTTCCACGCTGCTCAAGACGTATTTGCAAGAGGTGGGAGTCCCCACACTTTACCCCACCGCTGGCGATCTGCCGATCATACTGACGTTCGGTGCGTACCCATTTATACACAGCTGTGGGCGGTGGTGGTGGCCGGGTGGTTGGGATTTAAGACACTTTGACGATCCATATTCTTGGTTCTTTCGATAAAGTCACGTTGAAGGGAAACAATAAAATAATATATATGAATCATTGCAGTCACGAAAGCTTTAAATCAAAATTTTGACGATCGTTTTAGCTGCCGCGCCCGGATATCGAATTGAACCGACGACCAACGCGAAAGCCAACATGACAAGTTCCGACGAGCGAATTCTTACACCGCATCGTCATCATCATCATAATCATCACCCCGGGGTGTTTAACACAAAACTAAACAAACGACAGCATCGATCATCCTCCTCCTCCTCACCTGTCCCTCGACTCCGCCGCTCGATCCCTCTGCCGCCGGTTCTTGAACCAGTTGCTGACCTGCGTAGTGGTCAGACCGGTCGCCTGCGCCAGCTCTCGCTTCTCGCGCGGGGACGGGTAGGGGTTGTGCGCGTACCAATCTCTGAGCACTCCCCGAGACCTCTCCTTGAAGCAGTAGCTCGTCTCCTCGCCGTCCCAGATCGTCCGCGGCAGCGGGAACTTGCGTCGGACCCGGTACTTGCCCACGGCTCCCAGCGGTCGTCCGCGCAGGCGCTCCGCCTCCGTGTAGTGCGCCTTGAGCCACAGCTGCTGCAGCTTGGGGTGGTTGCGCGCCGAGAAGGGCTGACTTTCCAGCACGGCGTAAAGCTCCCGAAAGTTGCCCTGGTGGAACGCCACCACCGCCTTGGCCATGAGGATGCTCTCGCTGCGCTGGATTTGCTCGCACGCGGGCAGCGACCAGAGGAAGCGTCCCAGGCGCTCCATGTTGCCGCCCTGCAGAAGCGCCTCGCACACGCACGCGACTTGCTCCTGCGTGAAGCCGAAGGACATTTCGGCGGCAGCGGCGGCGTGAGACGGCATCGGCGTGGGTCGAAGATCTGTGTGTGTGTGTGTGCGTGTGTGAGGTGGGGGGGTGTGGGTTCTTGTGTACGTGTGTGGGTCTCTGTGTGCGTTTGTGGTTGTGCGCGTGTATGTGCTGGTGTGTGTGTGTGTGGGGGGGTTATGTGTGTGTTAGGTATTGATCTGTGTGTGGGTGTGTGTGTGGCTCTGCGCACGCTCGCTAACAGCACCTATCACACCTGTCTTCGTAGACTATACAGAGGAGAGGGATATTTACCCGTGTGCCTGTGCGTCCATGCGTGTGCGCTTGTGTTTGTGTGTGCGTCTCGGTCTCCTTGTATACGTGTGCGTGTGTGTGTGTGTGATGTCTAGGTGTACCTAGCCTGTCACAAGAGCCGTGGTGACGTCACCCTAACGTATGAGCGAATCGCGACTGTTGTTGTAGAGTGTGGCCGCGTTTCTGTTCCTCTAATCTGGTTTGCCGTCTATACATATAGTTGCATCTACACTTCTATATTGTCTTGTCGCCATATCTGTACGCGTAATTTTATCAATCCGACATCGATGTTCTTCTATCTGTGTCTGCCTGTCTCTAACTCTGCCTATGCATATATATTTATATTTACTTACCTACCGGACATGTATATTTAAAGCTACCTCTCGGCGTTCACCTATCGATCTCTATATCTCTCCATCCCACGCCTCTATGCTCGGTACGCGCGCGCGCGTCTATCGCTGCACGTGCAGTTGACGGATCTTCTTACTCGCGGCGAGGTGATTCACAAAACAAAAACACAACTTTTAACGCGCGCATCAGCTGCCCCGCAGTTGCGTTGTTTAGGCCTGTGCGCAAACAGAGCAAAGCGCGGCGCTTCCTACCCGGTCCAAAGCCAGTCCCCCCCCACCCCTCCACCCACACCGAACACCCCCCCACTCCCCTCCACTCCCCAATGAACCTCCAGCGCTCCCTCCCCTCCTCAACCCCCTACTTCCACCGCCCCTCGCCTCCCTCCTCACCCCTCCCCTCCAGTCACCTCCACACCTCCCCCCCCCCACGCTGTGGGTCCCCGTTTCTATTGAGACGACGTGAAGCCACGAGGAAGTGAGGATGCAGTCGCCGGCTCTGCGAGTCGCTGTGAAGAGATAACGCGGTCGGTGGGACGCGTGCGATTTAGACGAGGAGTCGCGGTGGTGGTGGTGGAGGAGGAGAGGAAGGAGGAGGAGGGAGGGGGGAGGAGAAGGAGGGAGAGAGGCAGGGAGGGTCGAGGTGTCGGGTTCATTGGAAACTTAACGCCAGGCCACGTGTGTCGGTGTGTGTGTGCGTGCGTGTGTCGCTGTGAGCGCGTGTTCCTGTGTGTGTGTGAGAGCGCGTGTGTGCATGTGTTTCTCTGTGTATGAGAGCGTGTGTGTTTCTCTGTGTGTGCATGTGTTTCTCTGTCTGTGTGAGAGCGTGTGTGTTTCTCTGTGTGTGTGCATGTGTTTCTCTGTCTGTGTGTGAGAGCGTGTGTGTGTGTGTGTTTCTCTGTCTGTGTATGAGAGCGTGTGTGTGTGTTTCTCTGTCTGTGTGGGAGAGCGTGTGTTTTTCTGTCTGTGTGAGAGCGTGTGTGTGTGTGTGTGTTTCTCTGTGTGTGAGAGCGTGTGTGTGTGTTTCTCTGTCTGTGCGTGAGAGCGTGTGTGTGTTTCTCTGTGTGTGAGAGCGTGTGTGTGTTTCTCTGTGTGTGAGAGCGTGTGTGTGTGTGTTTCTCTGTCTGTGTGAGAGCGTGTGTGTGTGTTTCTCTGTGTGTGTATGTGAGAGCGTGTGTGTGTGTTTCTCTGTGTGTGTGTGAGAGCGTGTGTTTATCTGTCTGTGTATGAGAGCGTGTGTGTGTGTTTCTCTGTGTGTGAGAGCGTGTGTGTGTGTTTATCTGTCTGTGTGAGAGCGTGTGTGTTTCTCTGTCTGTGTATGAGAGCGTGTGTGTGTGTTTCTCTGTGTGTGTGAGAGCGTCTGTGTGTGTTTCTCTGTCTGTGTATGAGAGCGTGTGTGTGTTTCTCTGTGTGTGTATGTGAGAGCGTGTGTGTGTGTTTCTCTGTGTCTGTGTGTGAGACTGTGTGTGGGTGTGCTTCTCTGTGTGTGAGAGCATATGTATATATATGAGAGCGCTTTTGTGTATTTCTGTGTATGTGTGTAAGCGTACGTATGTGTGTTTATGTGTCTGTGTGTGAACGCTGGTCTCTCCGTACCAATGTGTTGTGTGTGCGCATGCCCCGTACGCGTGTCACTGCGTGTCAGCAAGTGTGTCACTGAAGTCTGTTTGTCACTGAGTGTTCGCCTGTATTTGAGCGCGTGTTTGTGTGCCTGTAGGGAGCGGTGGCGCAGTGGTTAGCGCGCTGCGCTACGAACCCGGCGACCTGAATTCGATTGCCCCCTCACGACCAATAATGACAGTGGTGAAGATCTGGAGCCGGTACTGGGCCTCCTCTAAGTCGACCCAGCCTTAAATGAGTACCTGACGCGGTGTGCAAGCATCAGCACTGGGGAGACGAGAGCGATCGGGCGTGGTGGTGGAAACCCCTCGTGTGCCGTTCCCGCCTTCATAGGCGCTGCTCGCCGACAACACTTGCCCCAACAGTCTGTGTAGGCTACACGGGGGATCTTTGTCTTTGGCTTGTGCGTGCGTGCGTCAGTGGTGAGTCACAGTCTCGGTGTGGACCTGCCTCTCCGTGCGTCTGTGTGTGTGTGTGGTCTGTGTGTGTGTGTATGCGGTGTATGTGTTTTCCTGCGTGTATGTGTCCGCGTGTATACGATTGTATGGATGCGTCTGTCTGCGTGTTGGCCACTGACCCTCTCGTGTGCCGTGCCGGCCTTTATAAGTGCTCATTAACAGGCTATACGGGGGATCTTTGTCTTTGTGTGTAGTCTGCGGAGCGGTGGTGCAGCGGTTGGCGCGCTGCGCTGCGAACCAAACGAACCGAGTTCGATGCCCGCTGACGGCCAACGCCAGCGACGATTATCTGAAGCGGTACCGGTCCTTCCCTAGGTCGACTCAGCCTCAAATTGAGTAACCAATTGCGACGTGGTTAAAACATCGCCACGAGGGAGACAAAGGCGGTCGGGCATGGTGCTGGCCAACCACCCCCACGTTTTCCGTCGCGGCCTGCATCGGTGCTTGCAAGCAGCACTTGCCCTAGCAGTCTGTTAAGGCTATACGGGGGGGGGGGGGGGGGTCTTCGTCTTTGTGTATTCGCTCAGGGTCCGCTCAGCGACGCCTCTCCCACGTGTTTTGCATGGGGGCCGCTGTTGTCATCGCACTAAAGACAAAGATCCCTCCCCGGCATAGCCTGCCCACACTTTGGGGAGAAGTGCCGGAAGCTCGCACTTCTCAGAAATCAGAAACTTTATTCATGCCGGAGGCATCCGATGACGTCCAGTCGTGGCGGTTCAGAACGTCACAACGTCACAACAACAAACAATACAAAAACACGAAGGGAGTAAACAAATCGCTTAAAACATTAACAAATAAAGGCAAACTATTTTATCTCACCACCATAGAGAGAAACGTCGTGAGAATTTTATTGTGGTATTTTATTTTGTTAATTTATTATTTTATTCTCATTCTACGTGACTTTACCGAAAGAACCAAAGAAGATACATAGACCAATAACAAAGAGCCCCCGTATAGCCTTAACAGACTGTAGGGGCAAGTGCTGTTAGCGAGCACCTATGAAGCATTGAACGGTACACGAGGGGGTGGGTGGCCAGCACCACGCCCGACCGCCTTTGTCTCCCCAGTGGCAATGTTTACTACACACCGCTCCAGGTACTCATTTGAGGCTGAGTCGACCTAGGGGATGCCCAGAACCGGTTCAGATAATCGTCACTGGGTGTTGGCCGTGAGCGGGAATCGACCCGGGTTAGCGGGAATCGAACCCGGGTTACCACACACATACACACACATACACACACATATACACACATCCACACACATACACACATACACACATATACACACATCCACACACATACACACACATACACATATCCACACACATACACACATACATATACACACACACATACACACATACATACACACACAAACATACACACATACACACACATATACACACATCCACACACATACACACATACACACATATACACACATCCACACACATACACACACATACACATATCCACACACATACACACATACATATACACACACACATACACACATACATACACACACAAACATACACACATACACACACATATACACACATCCACACACATACATACACACATACATACACACACATACACACACATACACACACATATACACACATCCACAAACATACACACATACAACAACAACCGCCATTCGCCACTAAGTGGCGGTGACGTCACCACGGCGCTTGTGCCAGGCTATGTGCACCCTGAGGCCACGTGAAGTGTCGAACGCCCGTTGGCAGGAGGTCACGGGGCAGCCCCAGGTGCCACGGGTCGACTGACTGAGATGACTGGCTGATGCACCACCTGTGCCCCCTACTGTGCCAACCTGATGTGCTTTAGCCACATATACACACATATACACACATACATACACACATACACACACACAAACATACACACATACATACACACACACACGCGGGTCATACCGTTCCCTGGTCCGTGTGTTGATATTTACACGGACCCAGGGCCCATCTCGATGCTTCGCGAACGTCTTCCACTGACGCCACCTCTCCCCGCCACCCCCTCCAAGAGGAAATGACAGAAACCACGATCGCCCCATGAGCCGGCCCACCTGAGTTCGATTCCCGGGCACGACTTAAACGTCAGTGGCGGCGGGGTGATAAAGTGAAGTGGTCCTGCCTCCCCCGACCACTCTCCTCTACCCACCCCTCCCCCCCCCGTGGTGAGGAATATTCAAGCCACGCAAATATACCGACACGGCGTGTGGGGGGAGTTGTTCATCCAGCAGTGGATTACGATGTAAAACAATGACGAGGATCATCATTTTTTGGTGAAAAGAAAATGTATTTCTGAAAAAGGCCAAATAGCCGAAACGTCGATTGTTATTGCATCTCCTGAAAGTATTTGAGTTCAGTTTTTCCTCCCCCCTATCCAGGTCTCCCTGAAATAAACACAAACTCAATGTCTCTCCGACTTAGTTGAGTTTAGAGCCCTTTGTCAAGCCACTGCTGGAACGGTCTCACGCCGTGCTGGTCACGTGAGTTGTTTGTCCATACTTCACCACGCTGGTCAGAGCGAGACAGGGAAGCCCCAGGAATGGTTCAGATGTCGCTCGCCAACTCACGTTAGCAGTGGCCCGGAGTTGAACTTAGGCGCGTGCAGTGCGCTAACCGCTTCGCCCCAATGGGCACCGACTGGGTTATAAATAAAGGTAACGTATTCTATGTCTTCTAAGAGGTCTTTATTCATATGATCGCTACCTCTTCTCTATAGCAATACTCTGTGTTCCACAGCTATACTATTTGTGTCTGTTCTGTAAACCTACGTAGTCTATATGAGTAGAATTTCCATTCTAAATCGTATCCGTATACGTTCGATAACGGAATCGTCATATACGGTATAGTAATCGTATATGTTTTTACAATACTTTACTTTTCGACATACTGCAGTTAGCATATGTTTCATAAACAGTACATGACTATAGTATGTTCATGTTCTATATAGTGAGCTTTTTGTTCCATATAGAGTATTTGTATATATGGTATATAAAGTAATCGCATTTGTTCCATATGTAGTATATGTATCTGTTCCATTCAGTAAATGTATATGTTCCATATATAGCGTTTGTCTATTCTATATACAGTCGTATGTTATCGTATATGTTTCATATATAGTATTTGTGTATGTTGTACAGAGATAGTAATTTGTATCCGTTTTA